ATGCTGGAACAAAAAGAAAATAGGATGAGTGGGTTTTGAGTAATTTAAAAATTAATGTGCGTTGCTTGATGAAATAAATGTTTTGAAATAACTTTATCACCACGACAGTGATTCACACCGACCCTGATCATAGCCACATAGCTTCTGTTCCAATCACGGTACGTCTGTGCAATGCCCACGCTCACACCTGCACACCAGCCAGATCTCCGCACGCCGCAGCTACGCGTAGCCCCGCGCTCCCCCCGCGCCCCCGCCCCGCGCCGGGCTCTGCGGCCGTACGGCTCGGCGCCCTCTGGCGCTCCCTCTGCCGGCCGGCTGCCACCGCCCGCAATCTTCACGGGTTGCTCAGCAACCTACGAGTTTACTCGGGAAAAAAAGAGGCCTCTCACTGCAGATCATTGACGATGTGCCCCAAATTTCGGCCTGCTCTGTTCGCCCCAGGTCCCCCGACATGGCGTGAAGCCACAGCACATCAGCTGCTGCTCGCTTCTCCTCACGTGCCCAGACAGCTCTGGGCAGAAGCCACTTGCTTAATGCTTTCAATGCTAATTCCTTCCGTATGGTTTTACTGCTTGCCTCTCCGTCCTTCACAGCACCAAAACCATCCCATCCTATAGTGAGGAAATGAAGTCTACTTGGAAAGAACAAAAGAGTCAGAAGCAATCTGACTGGGAGCCTGCCTGCAGTGACAGCACAGCACACGGCCTCCAACTGGATGCGTGCCATCCTGAGTCATGCACAGCTGGTGTTTGCTCACTAAAATACTCTGTTCATAAACAAGCAATCTCTATCCCATTATTGCTGGCACCTATTAATTCAACTTGTTTCTACTATAATAAATCGGTCACAGCCAGGCAGCTTTCATAAGTAGTCATTCTAGTCTGAATATGAATCGTCCTGGCACAAAATCCAACAAACTCTTCTCGAGTGCCCCCAGGGAGTCAAACTGACACCAAAAGAACCCCTCCACCCCTCAAAAAAAATAAAAATCAGCTATCAAACTAAGCAAACAATTAGAAATAGAATACAGAGTTAAAACTTTAAGTTATTTAGTAACACAAAGAAAACTGCACGGATTTATAGGTCTTGGTACAACCAAAAGAGTTGACACAATTCTTAAGTAACCCATCTAGGTACCAAGATCTAATAAACCAGAAAGGGATCCTGTTTGTCTCCCTGGCCTTGCACCAAAAACTTAGGAAAAAGAAACAACCAAACAAAAAACAAACTCATGACAAAACAACAAAACTACAGCCTATGATTGTAACAGCTCAGAAAGCTTCCCAGTTAAAAAAATATATATTTGAAAAACTGCCTATTTATAGAAACAGTGGTTCTTTTCTCTCTGACTGCAGAAAGCAGACTTTTAAGAGAAGATGGAAGAGTGTTTTTTTGTTGGGTGTATAATCAATGGATATCAAGATGTTACAATCACAAAACAAACAAGAGAGCGAGGCGAAGTGGACTATGATAACAAGAGAGAATAAATGGAAGGCTTACCCTTGTGCTGGGCTCACCAGAAAACACCAGAAGAAGGGATCTCCAGACGAGATCCATCCTTACTGGTAGCCAGCTCTTAAGTAGGTCTAGGAGCCAGGCTCCAGCCCTTCCGGCAGCACAGTGAATTGCCTTCACCTGTGCTCCTCTGGCTGACTCATGGCTCGCCTCAGGTGATCAATCAGAGGTTCAGGCCGTGACTCAGCAGTTCCCACAGTTGGTTTTTTTTTTTGTTTTTTTTGGGGGGGAGGGGAGGGGGGGGTTTGTTTGTTTGTTTGTTCGTTTTAAATCGAGAGGACAAGAAATTCCTTTATGCTTTGATTGTTAATCTGCTTCCAGCTTATGACACTATCAAACAACAATGCAGCCCCAAAGCTATTACTGAAAGCTGCAAGAATCTACTCTACTCTAATCTCCTCTGAAAGCATCTTCCAGAGATCTCTCTCTCACCAGAAAACAGTTATTCTCAATACTCTGTGACCTGTACTCCTTCTCTACGATTACACTTAAACAATCAGGAGGCAACACGTTTTATTGCCAATTAGCTCCAATACACTAATTGCTTTGAAAACTTAATTATAAGTGAGGAATTTGTATCAGAAATGGACTGTATCTAATGAAGAAGCACAAACCTTTATGGTCATGGTGACCTTTCTTTCCTTTCTCTTCTGCTTAAACAGTACATCAAGATCAAGCATCAGTTTCTACAAATTTGTATTTTGCTTATAAAAAACATAAGTGCTGCAATGAAGATGCAGGATGCTGCTGGTGATTCTGTTAGTAATTCAGAGCATAAGTGAGAACACCAGCATATTCAAGTCCAAAAGTTAAACATAAACACGATGTACACAATCATTTCATTGTAAAGATACCAGTGCATAAACAAAACACAGTTATCTTTATTCAGTTCAACTTCTCATTTTGTAACCACACCAATGCACGATTTCACCATGTTTGTAGCTCGTTAGGTTGTGACTCTCAGATCAGGCAAGTCGCATCAGTCTTACCTGCTCTTTCATCAATATCAGCCAGCCTCTGGCCTTCAATTTTATATTACCACGTAACATCAGAAATGACTAGTCCCATTCTACATTTACCAAACTTTCTTGCTGCAATTTCATTTAGAATTATTTCTTAGTCCCTAATTTGCCTCTTCAATCAGTCTGTTTATTTATGCATTTTGCAAACATTTTAGTGGGCTACTGAAGTGATGCATCAAATCAATGGCCACAACAACCCCATAGGCTTGGGGATGAGTGGCTGGATGACTGTGAAGAGGAAAGGGACCTGGGGGTGTTGGTTGACACTTGTCTGAACACGAGCCAACAGTGTGCCCAGGTGGCCAAGAGGGCCAATGCCATCCTGGCTTGCATTAGAAATGGTGTGGCCAGCAGGAGCAAGGAGGTGATCATCCCCCTCTACTCAGCACTGGTGAGGCCACATCTCGAGTACTGTGTTGTTTTGAGCCCCTCAGCACAAGGACATTGAGGCCCTGGAGCGTGCCCAGAGAAGGGCAACGAAACTGGTGAGGGGTCTGGAGCACAAGTCTTATGATGAGCAGCTGAGACAGCGGGAATTGTTTAGTTTAGAAGAGGAGGCTCAGGGGAGACCCCACCGCACTCTACAACTTCCTGAAGGGACATTGTGGTGAGGATGGATTTGGCCTCTTCTCCCAGGCAACAAACAGGACCTGGGGAAATGGCCATAAGTTGTACCAGAGGAGATTTAGATTAGACATGAGGAAAAACTTTTTCCTCTCAGAGAATGATCAGGCACTGGAATGGCCTGCAGAGGTGGTGGAGTCGCTGTCCCTGGCAGTATTCAAGAGGAGTCTGGATGAGGATCTACAAGATATGGTTTAGTTTGTGGTAGCAATGGCAATGAGAAGATGGCTGGACTAGATGATCTTACAGGTTGTTTCCAACCTTGTGATTCTATGATTCTATCACCACATTTAAAGCCAGATGTTTAAGCCCTAACAAAAGGGAACAACCCCACAACTTCAAAATGCCAGGATTACTAAGAGATGTTCTATCTAAATTCAAACAATGCACAAAGCTGCATGCATGAGCAGTATCAGACACAATCCTAAAAACATTCAAGCTGGTATGGAAAGTTTCTGTGCAATTAGTTGACATGGTTTCCATGGAGCTACTCAAGGACCATGCTACAGCACAGAACTACTTGCAGGATCACATTTATTTTGGAAAAGTATTACAGCAAATGTCATGTTTTAAAGTTAATTAGAAAGAACCATTCAAGCAGTTTTGTTTTTCAAGATAGCAGACTTTCCTTCCGAATCAAATTACTCCAGCAGCCTATTTAAAACACAGAATTAAACACTGTGAAATACCAAGATCAGATGCCATTACAAACACTATGCATCTCATTTAACAGCTGTAGCACTCTCCTTACCAAGTATGATTGTTGTTACAGAAATTTAAAAAATTCTTTTACAAATTTCTACAAGTGTTCAGAGAGTACGCAAACTTCACTCCTACCTATTTTATTTCACTCGTCTTTTACAAGATAAGAAGTTACTACACTTGCCAGGTCAAAATATGTGACAATACCTTGTTTTATACTGCTTTGTAAGCACTGTTTTCAATGATATCTGACATTAACTACGAAATATTTTCCAAAAGTCTTTTGAGAATTCAACCAAATAAGTAATTAAAGTTGACTGTGATGAAATTCCAAGGCCATGCTCAATCTGTGTTCCTAGATAATTTTAATTTAAATAGTGGAGTGCATCATCTGGAAAAGATATTTCCTCACATATCTTTCTTGGCCTTTGCATAAAGATTATCTGTAAATCTGAAGTTCCAGCATCACTGAAAACCTCTGTGGAATACTATTCTAAAGGGTACGCTTGTTTTGAACTTATTAGTTATTTTGGAATCAATGCTTTACCAGTTCTATAGTTGTTACATACCCTTGCATACAAACTTACTTCTAGCATTTAACAGTTTGAGTTCTGCAATACCAAATAGGGCAATTACATTCTTTCACTTTAAAAAAAAAAGTATTTCTAAGATTTAGGAAGATACATAGTTTCTTTCCTCCCTCCAGCCCATGAAGTATTTTAATACATTAATTTCTCCTGGAAAAGTGAATCTTTGCAGCTACAAATAATGCTTTGGACACCACCCAGCAGTTATTCATATTTTTTCCAAGTCAGTGCTCTCAAGTGATATAAATTAATTACTTATTATGCAGCTCCAACCTACACAAACAGCCTCCCATATGCCTACACACCCTTGCAGAACTGTAGGTGTAATCAGAAACACACAACTGAAAGGGTACACAGATGAAGGATGAAAGCTGTGTCACCCACAGAGCTGATACAAACAAATTTACATAAGCTTAAATATCCATTAAAAAAAAAAACAAAGAAATTAACTGCCAGACTTAATGTATGCAACCACCCCCATCAGTAACCGTTTTATTTATGACTTGCACATTTGTTTAACATTAAGGCTGATAATTAGATGTTCACCTACCGAATCATTTGCTGCTAGGGCGAGGGCTATATTTACTGTAAAAAAGAGAAGAAAAAGATTAACTGTAAGAGAACTCACCTTCTAAATACTAAGAATGCTATGATTTCTAACAAGCAAAAACATAATATAAATACACCCCACTTGCTTAATAAGAGCACTCATCATCTTGGTTCTTAGCTTCTAATATCTATGGAATTAGTAGTTGAAGAGACAGCAGCATCTACCATTCAATCCACAGTAGATAGCAAATTCACATTAATCTGCAAAAAACCACAAGGTCTAGATTTCTACAGGACACCGTGATACAAAGTTACAATCTTAGCATTTAGCTAAAGGATAACATAAAAAGAATTATTTGTTGACTTTTGGAAACTAGGCATTACTACAAAAATAAAATACCACAGTCTCTAATGAACTTCTAAAAGTAGAGATCAGATAGCATTTAACTAAGCTATTAAACCGCAGTGACCAGAAATAATGTTCATAACCCTTTTTTGATGTCTCATGGTATATTAAAATAGACATTTTTTTGGAAGAAGTTGCAATTCTACTTTTTGCTCAATTTGTATGACACAAAAAAAAAAAAAAAAAGTCTCATCTACTCTGAAAGCATCCCTAGCAACTAAAGAAACAGAAAACAGGAAAAAGCAACTAATCTGTCCCCTAGCTTGTCTACAGCTGTTTACAGCATTTCCATCAATACTTGTGTAGAAAACACACGGACAAAACAGCATCATTCACCAGCTTCAGCTATACTGGAAGATCTAGAAACTTCAGTGTAACCAAATAGTACGTGTTGTATTCCAAACAGTAACATGTTATAACAAACAAAAACCCTCACAGCTTTCCTGCACAAAATCTTTTGCCTCCTTTACACATTGCCGTATTTCAGCCTACGAAGCATTTTAAGAAAGATAAGCTGCAATCAGCCTTGTCCTGCTGAAAGAGGACAAAGGTACTGAGAGCAAGTTGGGAAGACATTAACAGCTTAAAGCATGTAGTATAAATAGTAGCAAGTTTTATTAAACAAAACAGTGAGAAGGTTAACAAGAAAAATTATACCGTTTTCCCTAAGATGTGCACAGGTACTGTTTATTCCTAAGCTGATAAAGCATATAGATTTTATTCTTCAGTTTGCTACTTAAATAGATGCATGCTTAACTATTCCCTTAACCAAGCAGAGAGAATTAATCCTCTGCAACTTGGAGCCTGACCTACAAATCAAGGACAAGGAGAAAAACATGCAAGCCAATGATTAAACAAATAAATAAACTGCAGAACACGTTTGAAGAAGCACAAGGGAAGCAGCAAGTTACTCACCATACTGTTTTAATATGCCTATCACTTCAGTCTATCTTCTTACCATACAATTATAATGTGTGAAAATTAAAGTATGATCTACAATTCATCTTAAATAAAAGGTATTTGACTACTGAAAGGAAAGAAGGAAGACAGTGGAAATAATATACTGGGAAAGCTCAAGTTCATTAGCTGCATTTCTAGATGGATACAACGTACTATTTCAAATCCCAGCTGATTATTGCACCTGGTTATCTTTGTATTGCTGTGAGTTCCAAGAAAGCTCAGAAACACAGGACCCCAACCTTAACCTGACCCTAAACATTAACACGAGCCCTCACAATTAGACTCCAACATGATCAGGACTGTAAAGAAGTAGGGCATACATATTCAACAAGTCCAATACTTTTCACCATCACCTCTTGTCTTCATAGAATGCCACAAAGTCACCATGCTATCTCTAGCCCATGCTAAACCAGCCAGCATCAAGAAGGAAATACAAGGAGATCAGAGTTGGCCAATGACCAAACTTATGTCCAGCTGGGACACATGAACAGATGGATTTTGGCCACTGCTTTGAAAAGATTAATGCATCCTACCTGCAGACTTAAAAAAAAAAAAAAAAAAAAAAATACAAGAAAAAAAAAAAAAAAGAAGTGATGGGATATGTTTCACCATGTCTTGACTACATCAGTTATCCTGAACAATAAAAAAATCCTATCTCCATAGCCTTTGCTGGAAATGACTGAAGAAAACCAAAGTAAATTATCAGTAGTTATATTCTCTTCAATCTGCAGGATTAACAAGATGCAATTCAGAAAGCCATACCATGCTTACACAGTAGAAATACTATCAATTTCAGAAATTAGAAACTTCTATTCTTTCAAGTTCACCCTCTGAATTCTTCTCATGCGAGAACCAATTTTGGGATGCTGCACCAAGACTGAGGAAATTTAGCAGAACACTGTAAAAGAATAGAACTCAACAGGAAACAAATACAGGAACAGGAATCAAACAAACAAACAAAAAATCTCATAGTAGAGAGAAGAAAATAATCAAAACAATGTAAGTATTTAAACAGATTAAAAATATTTTTATTTTTTTAAAGTTAATCTTTTCATCGGAAACTATATTGATTTCAGAAATGCTAGAAGCAACTAGGAATATAATACAAAAGCTATACGCTGTTGTGTATAGCAACAGATAGGAAAAATTATACAACAGAAACACAGAGACAGATTAAAGACAGACAGATTAAAGAATGACCATCACAAACTCAACCCCACTACACATCCACTCAATCTGAAAGGAAGATCTAGAACAACTGGAATACAAACCCATGGGGAGAAAGAACACTAGCAGCCTTGACAGTCCTTCGGAGGAACGTAGATAAGACTGATGATATTTTCTGTGGCACTCCAAGGCTGCATATACACCACCTCTAATTACCAATTATCATTCTCCTTTCCTTCTCAGTTAGGGAAAGTGTAACCAAACGTATTTCCCATAAGCCTCTACTACTTTTTTTTTCCATACAAATTATTTTATCTTAATAAATTGTTCATCTGAAACATTCAACTTATATTAATCATCAAGAATCTAAAGTCCTCTTTCTTCTCAACATTATAAATAAAATAAATGCAATCATCAACAAAAGGCTGTCCAATGCAGTAACTGGTCAAACAATACAGTAAACGATCTGTTTACACTTCAGTTCTCTCATTTATTGTCTGGTGAATACTGATTTTTTTTATTTTTATTTTTTTTTAACTCCCAGACAAACGCAAATTTGTTTAACTTCAAGCAGATATATGTAGTACTAGAAATCCACGTCATCTTGTTCTACTTCCTAGAATTCAAGCTTTTCTGATTTTTGATTCCAAAGCCTAACATGTGGGTAGGAAAAGTTGGGAGTTCACAGTGATTCAATAGTCTCTCACTGCTTCGTATAGTTTATCACCGCTGTTCACTTGTCATTATGAAATGTCTTTACAAGTAGTTGAGAAAACTGGCCAGAGAATTGATGTCGAACCTTCTGAACACTGAAATATTGATAATCCCTACAGAGCACATGACAACATAGGCCACTATTACACTGTAGAATTACACCTAAGATGCTAGCAAAGGAGTAACAGCATCATTACACCAGCACATAATCCCCACCATTTTAGCTTACTCTCAATTCAAAGCAAGCTGTCCAAGGACAGCACTGCACTACTACAAGCACATTATTTCTGCTGCCTGCTCGACCAACACCCACTTCAAAACTGGCTCCTCTGCATTCATACAGATTTTCAGCAGCTGCAGATCTTCACAGAGGTTGAGGGTTCTGTTAGTGGGACTCAACTGTCCAAATATTCCTTGCAAAGGAATTCTGTACTTTGTACAAAATACAAAGTAAAACATCAGAGAAAACCTACATATTTTGCAACAAAAAGTTTAGTTGCTGTGTACATAATACCAGACTGAGAGAGGGAGGCATGAAAACACACTTCTCTGTTGCCTTGAAGTAAAACTTTGTAATCTGTCAGGTGTCACGGCTGCCAGCTGAATGTAATTCAAAAACCACACGAGCACACGAATATTTACATATCTATTACAAAACAATAAAAATACAACGGCACAACAAGAAAAATCTTACCTGCTGTTGTTGATTTTCCAACTCCCCCTTTGCCAGAAGCTATGACCAACACCTGCTTAACTCCTTCTATGGCCTTTTGTTTGGGCAGCCCCCGAGACAGGATCCGAGTGCGTTTGTCTTGTAGAACCTCATCCCTGGAGCCCGAGGACTAATCAAAAAAAGAACAGTACAGAGCAGTTGTGGTATCAACGTGCACCGTCTGCAGAAAAAGTGAACAAGTGCAGACCAACCTGTGCTGAGACGACCTTGTTACTGCTCCTAAAAATCTTCTTGCACTCCTACAGCAACCTGCCTCTTGCTCAGCATCACTTGAAGGAATGGGGCCTACACTCAGCACTGACTCTGGGGATATTTTGTTTAGACACAGTTAAATGTGATTAGTCTCAGACCTCAAAAAAGAATCAGGGCCTCCAGTAAAATAAATCAAAACCCCTTCGCTAATTTGGAGACTTCTAAAAATCACCTTCAAGTTACTTGATTTGCAAGATTCTCAATGGAATCATCAGGGTTAAAAATGAAACCCTTTGCCTTCTCTTCTCCTGAATACCTCCAAAGCTAAAGTCAAGGCTGCACATCAGCTTTTACTAGCTTTAGCATCACCACAATTAATATACATGGTGGCCATCAGCTGCTTCTATTTTCAGCACTGTATCATCAAAACGAGAGCTCCAGCATCCCAAGCTGCCAGTCACTGAGGCAGAGCGACCTAAGGGCATCAGAAGTACAACAGATGCAGCTAAAAGCACGGGCAAAGCAGCACCAAGTGCAGAGCAGCCCGCCAAGCCCTTGCTGCTTTCCTGCAGCGCACCTACGAGCTGCTTATCCAGAGCGCGCCCCGGGTAGCAGAGGGCAGGCACACAGCAGCTCCTCTGAGCAGAGCACAGGGCTGAGCATCTCAGAGGGCAGCACCCCGTTCACCACACGGTGGTCAAGTTTTGGAGACGGTGAGCAGTCAGGCGTTACATCTGCAGAATGAAAGAGGGTCCAGGAGAGACTCCTCTTCTTTCCCTCGGTCCGCCGGCTACGCTGCCCGCGCCGTTAAAGCCCCATGGCTAACGCGGCCCTAAACCCAGCCCCTAAGGAGGCTACTTCGGAGCAACTTCGATGCAGATTCCGAAACAGCCGCTCAGGAACCAAGCCGAGAACTCGCCTGATCCCCCCCACCCCGAGGCTCGCGAGGTTCAGCTCCCCTCCCGCACCGCCTCGGCGGGCAGCTCCCGCCTCACCCACCGCGGAGCCGGACGACGAAGCAGCGCGAGCTCCGCTGCTCGGAGGGCGCCGCAGCACCGCCAGCGCCCCGCCGCCGCAGCCAGAGAATCGAGCGACGCGCAGCACCCAGCGCCAAGCGACGGCCCCCATTCCTGCCTCCCGCCGGGCGCGCTGAAATGGCGCCGCCGCGCCTCGGCCCGCCCCCTGCGCTGCGCCGGCCCGCGCCGTTGCCCCACGTACTTCCACAGCGTTCGAGCACCGGCGGCCCCTGGAGCTGGTCCGTACATCTTCACCGCGTCCGAGCAAGCCGGGACTGTGGAGGCCTGAGGGCTTTTCAGGCGTGGCTGGAAACGGGAAGCGGCGCTTGGGACTGCTGGCCGCGAGGAGGCCGCGAGGAGGCCGCGGTTCTCGCCTGGGCATGGGAAGGGCGCGGGCCGCCTGCGTTGCGCGCGGCGGCGAGGCTCGCCTCGGCCTTCAGTGTGTTTGAGCGCATCGTGGCCCTCCGTGGTTTGTGTCGGCTGCAGATATAATAGATGTATGCTATTTCATCCATTGAGTCATCAGTTCAAAGAACCCGTGGCCAGGTCCGGCGCCCCTTTTTCGGTATTAATATATATATTTTAAGTGCAATTCAAATTGTTCTAAGTAAGGTGCCTTATGTCATGTGAGTGTCATTTGAAGCATTCAGGCACGCACGAGTAAACCACCATGAGGCCCGCGGCCGTGCTGTGGGAGGAATTCAGAGCCTTCTGACATGATTTATTCCAGACAATCCCATGAATAGCCTGTTTATCCAAGCAGTAATACTGAAGTACTTCAGACCTCTGCAGTTTCTGGCCCTTAGTTTTCAAAGGTAAAACAAAGCATATAGCACCTTTTGTTGGCATCTGCTGTAGTGCGTAATGGATCAGGGATTTTATATCCCATTTAAAGTGCTATAATAAACATTGCCCCTTTATCACATAAAGAATTTTCACCACTCATTTAATATTTTTTTTTACTCGTATTATTAAAAGCCCTAATCAGACATTTTGCTCAAAGCCACCATTTTCAGACTTACTCTAGTGCTCAGCTGCCAGAGAAAAATTACAGTGATAAAAACGCAACTTTTGCTTTCCTTCAAGTGATGCTCATTCAGTCTCTTGTTCTTGCTGTAACCATTTAAGCATATTTTGCACAGGGAGTACAGACAGGTGAAGAGGTCAAATAGTTTCCCAGTAATTCACCCTACTGAGAAACCAAAATGCAGAAGAACACTGGCAACCAACGAGCCGTTTAATTCAAAAACTGCATTAGAGATCTCCCTCAAGGGCCTACTCTTCGCTGCTGCATGAAACTGTTAGCTTTTTCCTTGCAAGAAATTTGCATTATTCATTCTCCTACCTTGAGTGTTAGAGGCAGTATTAAAGTGCAGAACACACATCACAAACAAAATCAGCAATGCAGGATCAGTGGTAGGTGTGCAGAACTGGTTTTCAACATTTTTAAAGTAATTTTAAGAGCAATAGGGAAGCTACTATGGCACTAGGCTGTACTGAATATGATAAGTAGGATTCTGCCATTAAATTTGCTCTAAAATAAGAAAGCCATTTCCAAAATGCCATAACTGCTTTTAGTTTCTTATTTAAATTTTAACAACTGAATGTAGTAGTGTAACTTCCTGCCAGTAGTCTTCCTGCCAGGCTTGGATATTAAGGGCCTGCACCCCAATGGTGAGGCATTTCTGCCCTTTTGTCGCAAAGTTCATTTGGCCCAAGGGATTGTAAATACCTGTATTAAACAAGAGAGGTTTACCTGTGGTGTCACATGAAATACCATAATACATGGCAATACTTAAACTGTAATAGATTAACAAACAAGAAGACACAGAAGACACAGTAGCAATACACATTTTTCTTTATAATGTATATTAACATTTCCATTACGACCACAAAAGTAGCTTCATTTTATGCAGACACTTTCCTAGACCTTAAACTGAGAAATTAAGTTCTCTGCTTTAGTCCTGTTCACTAAATGAGGACCAAGGCCTGAGAGGATTGAACCCAATTTAGTTTGTATATTACTTTTGTGTGGATGCTATGATCTGTGCAGATCTTCACAGTCAAGAAGAGAATCTTTTTTTAATCTACTGCTCGATTCTTCTGAAGTCAATCAAGTTCTTCAGGTACATATCATGTACTATAGTAGCAGTCACATCACAGTGAAGACAGCTTAAGCAGTCTTAAGCAAGTAGTGCAGAAAATGAAGACATTTGTTTTGCTGAATACACCTTTCAGTAACAAAGGTACATAATTATTTTCTTAGGTACACAAGATATTTATTCCTTGCATGAATGTAACTAGCTCACTCCAATTAATGCTCTTTCAGTACTTAAGCTTTGATTTTTTTTTCTTTAAAACTTTCCTAGTCTTTGCCATATGTGCTACAACCACTGAAGGGTAGAAATACCTTCTCTTCCAACAGCACGTAAATTGTAATTCCAGTGGTGGAATTTTTTTTTTTTTTTTTTTTTTTTTGCATTTGACATCATACAGATACAGAATTGAAATCTTCACTTCCATAAAAGCTTCACTTCACTAAACCATATGACAGCACTGGTTTGAGCAATAATGTCATTCAGGCACAGTTTCAATTTGTGAAATCATTTTAATTCTGTTCTTCATTCATTTGGTTGGTAATGAATTTGTTTTACAGGAAGCATTTGTTAGCATCAGAACCTGGAGCATAAGTGAGTTTTGTATAGCAAATTAATCTAATTTGAACAATGAGACTAATTGAGAAACAACACCAACATCTAGCAGGTTTTGTATTTACTTATTATTTTAAAAATCTGTCTCATATTCCAAACAAATTCACTCTTGTTCTGTGGCCATAAAATACTTTTCTTGTAATTTCTAGTACATTAGCAGTCCAAATCACCAAAGACATCACCAAAAGGAACTTATGTTCTTTGGGTTTATATGGACCACTTACACAATTGTGCCAGCAGCAGTATCTTCCAGATTGATCCATGCATGCTGAAACATCAGATGAAAATAAATCCGATCCAAGAGCACTTTCTACAAGTACTACATATAAAAACCATGGCAGTCCAAAACTGTGAAGGCAGAACAGCAGATTATTGGAATGCTTATTTCTCCAGTTAACCCACCACTGTGAAGGAAAGTAACTACTCCTCATGGCTTTAGATGGGGCCAGAGGCAGATCCATGAATTTAATCTAAAGTTCTTGATCTCTGATCTTCTACGTCAAAGCGTAAAAAGAAAAAAGTGCCTAAGCATCTCAGATTTTTATTTATGCTAACATCTAATGCCAAACAGCATGTTTCTTTAGACAGAACAGAGGAAGATGAGCATGTTTATAGCCATCTTCTCCTTAATACAAAGCATAGGCCAAGGAAAATATAGCCTAGACTAGAGTACCTTTGAAGTTTAACAGACAAGAAGCTGAGCAAGTTCCTCCTGGTTGAGAAAATAAGCTTGTTTTATTTCCATCCCAGCTCTCTAAACATGAAGAAAAGAGGGACTCAGTTAACAGCTTCCTACAAAGTAGCTATGTAATTGCCTCAGGTGTAGACAATTTTCTAGTGAATCATGCATGAATGCTCTTGGCCAATAAATATCAAAACTAAGACCTAAAAATCAACTCTCACAGAAATAAATGCAATTTATGTTCTAATTACTGCCACTAAGGGACTGGATTGCACTCTCTATAATACCAATTTAATCAAAAATTGAAATGAGGAAATATAACTATTACAGAAAAATACAAAGTTGTTTTTCTGACACTGAGTGATTGTTTAATTCACTGCTTGGCTTATTAGCTCACACTTAGGACTTCAGAAAACCGTTTTGAGAAAGGAACTTTCATTGGCTCTGTCTCGCTCTGTCACCTACTGAGTCATGGTCATATCTGTAGTCATGGATAACAGGTACTTAAAGGGTAGCAAAGTCAATTACAGAATTCTATTTCTTTGCTTAGGCACTTAAACTAGGTGCATATTCATATTCACTCCACATGACAGTTTTCCAGCACTAATCAGAACTTTTACTAAATTTTAAACTAAATTCTGCATTTTTAATGTCTCATACAAGGGTATCTACACATGGATCCAATGGCAGAGCATGCAGACCACTAAAATGTCTATTATTACAGATGTTATCACTGTCCCTAACACATTTAATATTCTGTCCATTTCAATACTTAGATTTCATTTGAGTTGTTTTCAAAATGTAGCAAGCAATATCCGCTAATAGTATATTTTGAATTACGTTATGCGATCTGACCTCTTGCAATAGAAAATCTTTCCTTTTTTTCTCTCATATCTAAGAATATTGCTAAAATAACATTTGTCTTAGAGACAAGATGCTGCTGATTCAGTAGAACTGGACATGGTGAAATCCTATCTCAAATCCTGCTGATCTCCCACATACAAGATTTAGACCCATAGTAGTAGACTAATGAAGAGTAAAGCTGCTGTGGTAATGAGGAATTGAAATCCTATCATAAGCTGCCTACCATATAAATGCAAAAGAAAAAAAAAGGGGGGGTTCCTTTAGTAGAGCAAACTGTGGAAGATTATCTAATTACTAATTTTTTAGATGCAAGTTAACCATGGCCAAAAGTATGATAGGAACCAATAAAGCAGAGATGAATTAGCATCCAAGGATATTTCTTGCAATTAATGAACTTCCTAGATGTAGCTTAGACATTTACCTGAAGTTGAGCTGAGTTGTTCTTTAAGCTTCAAAGTATAATAGATGTATTTTCTCCAATAGTAGCTAAAACACATTTTACCTTGGGCACCAAAACAAAGTTGTTTTAATGCAGACATGAATCTCACTTAAACTGTCACTTTGAAAGCTATCATTTTTTGCCCTGTAAGTAACAGGCTATTCAGGGGAGAATTAAATATCTTTAGCTGATACTAAAATGTTTCAACTTATCAACTAACTGTTTTACCCACTTATTCATATACTTAAAATTTTTGAAACCACTGGAGGATTATCTGGGAGGAAAAAAAGCACTTATAAAAATTAACAAATACAATTTTTTTTCATCCTGTTAGAACATCTAATATTGAAGATAGTTGTTTTTTCCACCCTGTAGCAGTGATTTAGCATCTATTGTAAAAGAAAGCATGACTCTTTAGAAGCTGAAAAAAAAAATAAAATCAAAGGTTA